ATCGCGCGGGGTGGCCTGGCTTTCCTTCGCCGCGCCGGAGAGGGGGGAGGGAGGGAGATCCGGATGGTGGGTTTTCGCGAAGCCGTGGAAGGCGTTTTTGATCTCCTCGTCGGTCGAGGTCGGGGAAACGCCTAACACCCTGCCGGCGTGGCGTAGCTCCGCGGCGGTGGGAAGGGACGTCGAGGAGCTCACGCGGCGCCGCCAAAGCGGTCGAAGGGAGCCCTCCACGACATCCGCGCGGCGCCGCAACGCACCCCCTAACGCGCGTGGTGCGTTTGAACACAAAGCCGAAGGCCCCTTCGAGCCGATCCCCGGTAACAAGCACGACCCCACCACCCCTGACGTCGAAAAGGCCCTCCAACCACCTGTCAATGCCACGGAAACCGAGCGTAGCTGCATCTCAAGGGAATTAGGAAAATGGCCCCGCGTCCGTGTGTTTGGTGATGCAAGGCGTAAAAAAAAAAAACCACACGAACCACTTCGAGGTTTCAAAAATAAGAAGTTAACTTACGATCCCCACTCACCTGGGCCGTAATGGAGGTTACAAAGAACAGAATCCCACTCTAAGATGAGGTAAAGGATAATGCATAAACAAAAAAAGATAAAGAAAGGAACCGCCGAAAAGCTGCTGGTGCAAGAGGTAAGGCAAGCACCTTTTGCTTTTGATCTACGATACCCCAATATACTGAAATCCGATAGTAAACGAAAAAACAATCTCACTGTCTCCGACTTTAACCCTCTTTGAAAAAGAAAAAAAAAAGAAAAAGAAAAAAGGACGAAAACAGAACAATGTAGAAAGCATGCAAAGTAATATCAAGAGACTATTATTATTTTCGAAAACGGTATTTCCCTCATCGGGAAAAGGATAGCCCAATTCAGAAAGTTATGTCAGCACAATTAATCTTCTCAAAGACTTTTGTAGCAGATATAGTCTGGAAGAATACAATGCAGATATATCAATAAACTTTTAATTTAAGGTGGAAACATGGAAAATAAAACAAAAAATTTTCCCTACGGGAGCCCTTTCCATAGGTCTACCTCCCTCTCAATGCAATCTGTAAAAGGAAAAGAACTATAACGTTCGAAGATAGAACCGATACAAAGCATCCTTTATTTCCTTTTTTTTTTGCTGGTATTCTGTGGTGTTTTTATATTTTTTAATGGAAACGAGTTCCGCAATAGCAGTGCTCTTTGGTACACTTAGGGTGATGACGTTTTCCACCACCATGCGAGTGTCCGCATCCACCTGCGTTGCTGTTGTCATTGGTTTCGCCTAAACCACCACTTTTGCTGGGATCGTCATTACTCGCTTTGGGTAACGTCGGCTCGTGAGGTGGAAACCCCCTATCCGCTTCGCCTTCACCCGGGAGGATTTCGCTATCGCTACTGCTGCAACTACTGCTACTACTGCTACTTTCGCCGAAGAGCTTTTTTTTATGAAAAATACAGCAGCTTTTGCTAACACGTTGGTTCGGAAACTCCCTAACATTTGCATTCCACGTAACGCGGCGTTGGGCGTGCTCCGCACGCCGCATCTCATCCTCCGTCAGAGCAGGGCGTAAATGCAAATGCGCTACACGGCGTGGAGGCTGCTCAGTAAGAAGTGCTTGGGCAGGGCGCTCGCGCGCCAAAAGAAATGTCTCATTTGGCTCCATCTGTAGAAAGAAACTAATAAGTAAAGATATATACAGTTGCTCTCATATATATTTATATATTTATATAAACGTTTGTTAGCTTTCTCCTGTGTAAGAGAATGGAATTATATTGGGAAGGGTAAACCACAAGAGCACCCACCACCGCATTGTGTTTCGTACGCGAAAGGATAAATAAAGGGGAATAGTAGAGAAAAGACAATAGTGACAATCACCATGAAAAGCAGACATGTCAATTCACCCCATCAATAGGATATCCTTTATGGCAAAGGATCCGAGGGGGGGATGAAGAGTAGATTGGTGTATTTGTGCGTATACTGTTTAGAATGATGAAAAAGATACATATACTGCAACATATGATATGTATATACATAGAAACATGGAAGCCATGGTAGAAGCAAGGATAAAAAAAATAATGAAAAATATCCTGAAAACAATAGTAGCTATGATAGTACTATTTTTTTTGATTCTAAAAAAAAAAATCGCACTGTAAACACTTCGACAACCCTTATTCACATATGAACAGTGTTTCCCAACCTTTCCCTCTTACTTACAATCAAAGAGATCTTTTTCTCTCTTTTTGGGGGAAGAGGATGTCTAGGATGTTATTTATTCTGTTGGAACCTTCCAACCGCACACAACAAATGGTTATCCTTTTTTTTCTAATCATCTAAATACATGTGTATAGATAACGAAATCCTCTTAAAATACAACTACAACGGGTAGTTTTACATCAATTGCCCACCAACTCGTATATTCGCCTCCTGGGTGGTATATTTCCTGTCCTCCATCAGCAAGCACGTCGCCCACCTCCTCACGCACGACTTCAATCGATTAACGAAATAATAGCTAAAAAAGGGTATATAGCGTTCGATATACACAAGGTATAGACTTCAATTAGGAAGATAAAGAAAGCGAGGTGTTCTTTTTTTTCTCCCCCCCCCCCCCCTCCCTTTTCGTTGCTCATCGGAGGCTATCCCCACGAAAGAGTGGGGGTCGTAGCTGC